AGTGGTGGCCTGTGCCACAAAAATGGCCATAACGCACCTCATCTGTCTCCAGGTGCCACAGCACAGCTGGCGTGGCACAAGCAGTAGGAGCTGCGGTACCCGTACAGCGCTAGCCACTGGTGGTCTGTAGCTTTAGAGTATGCCGCATAAAAGAAGGAAAACTGACCAGTTATTTTTAGAAAATTGATGTATACAAGAGAAGATTCTCATAGCTGAGTGCTTCTGTTTTACTGCTCAAGTATTTCAGTGATAGGCCCCAACCCCACAGACACACAACACTGGATGTAAATAAAGCTGACTACAGGAGGCCTGAAGTGTCACCGGATAGCAATGAACAATTACCAGTTGTATTCCTCACCTGCATGTACCATATACCACTTTTAAGCATGCTTCTTAATTTTTATTTTTTTTTTGAGTATTAACAATGTGTTGGTACCAGATACAATACATTTCCTCTCTCAAAGGATTAATAATGCCCTAGTTACTGTGCTTGTCTTCTTTTCTTGCACTTACAATTAAGTAATACAACAATTTAAAACAAACATACTCATTCACTATTATGCAGTTGCATTACAGAAGCTTGGTAGAGACCAGGTCACCTAGAACAGCTTCTAGGTGTTATTTTCCTCTTTGATACGCATTTCCCACTATATACCGGTTATTTCTTGCGCTTAACTTTGTTTCATGCATTTCCAGACAAAGCTTCCCTGTTCTGGCCAATATTAGGAGACGTTGCCTCTCGGGCGTGAGCGGACGATGGCACCAGATGGCGGGAGTGGGGCTGGGAGTGGCCTTGTGCGCAGTCCCCGTCGTGGAGGTAATGTATCAGGAGTGAGACACGTACAGCACCCGCTCGTTAGAAACAGTTTAATATTCAAAAACACTCGCTTAGCATTTTACAAGCTAGTACTCGCCCTCAGAATTGTTTTCCTTCTTGGGGGGTTAAGCCATGTAGTTGTTAAGGGAGAGAAATGAGAAAGACGTCTACCTTCAATAACCCCTTGCAAAAACAGTTGCCCTGTTTTACAAAGGCAAACCAGCAGTGAGAATTAGGCTGTCCAACCTTGTAATAAACAGTGGTGCTTTTCCTTACCGTTATTTGTTACTGGTAACATACATAGAGTCAGTGTAAAGATCATGCAAATTTCTTGTCTTTCAGAAACAGAACTCAGTTTCTCTTAGTAATGACGCCTTGATTAAAAGGGCAGTTTCCCTGGTAACAGACAGTACTTCTACACTCCTCTCTCAAACGACATACGCATTGATTGAAGCATTGACAGAGTATACAAAGGTAAGCTGAGAGATTACACACTTCGCTAGCAAGTTAATACTGGAAATACTCAGTTACTTTGCACTGACTATACCTGTTAAACCATACTTGAAATGGACTTTGATTTTTTAATAAATTTTAATAGAAGGCGGGTGGAAGTTTGAAGATACCAGATCCCTAGGAAACAGTGAGGTAGGGCTCACTGTTTTACCACACCAAACGCAGAAGTTGTTTTTAGTTTTGTTAGACGGTTGCTTTGAGCTTTAACTTAAGCCCCATGTCTCAAAACTGGGCTAAAGAAACTTGTAACAGTTATTGGATACTTGTGTACTGAGTAAGTAGGATACGCCACCCTGCATTCTTAGGTATTTTATTTACCTTCTGTGCCTATTTCTAAGGCCATGAACTTGAGTTTCATCAGAAGGATGGCATGAGCCATATTTAAGTCTGAAACCACAAGATACAGTTTTAATTTTATAAATAAGTGCCAATTTGAGTAGAGTATTTGCATTCCAGTTTACTTATTAATATGTCAAGCATATAAAGAGATGCTATCAACAGCACTACTTACTGTAGGCAGACAGTAAACGCTATCACTGCCTCCAAAATTGCAGCAAACTTGACAACAAAGCACCTTTGGAACCATTCAGCAATTTTGCTAATTAAGACCAGTTAGCACTGAGACAACATCAGAGATGTACAGATTGTCACATAACTGCGTGAAATGATTCCTTTGCAGGCAGTTTATACGCTGGCGTCTCTCTACAAGCAATATGCAAATCTTCTTGGGAAAATGAATTCGGAAGAGGTGGATGCGGTCTGGCAGGTGGTAATAGGAGCCAGAGTTGATGTAAGCGATTGTCTCCCTTCAGTCAGCAACCTGCCTCTTAAAACTCTGTTTCGAGAGTTCTCGTCTCGCTTGCTCACCTTTTCACAAAGGCACTGCTTGGAAGAGCAATCACTGTTACATCTAGTGAAGTAATACTTTGTTTTACTCCTAGATGACAGCAAAACAGCAGTAATACCTAAGACTGGAATCCAGCTGGATGACAGCGTTACGTCTTTCAGAGATGGCAGCAGAAGCTGCGTATCAATCAGGTAAGCACGAGCAGAAACACTGAGAATTTCTTTCCCCCAGCATTTAGGCAGTATTTATTGCATGAGAATGGAGATGAGAGAGACACAGAACATATATTCAGTTAACATACCAATTTACAACTAGTGCCTGGTTTTTAGAGATGCTGAGAACTTATGTTCTTTTATTGGCTACAGGTCTAGTAGAAGCATTCTGAGAACTAGGCCTGAAAATTTCACACATGGTTTAGATCAAGACCAACCAGGCCAAAAAAATGTTTGAGGGAAGTGTTTAGTCATTTTTAAATGCAGTGTTCAAACACGGTTCTGGGAGCCACAGAAATAAGGCTACCTAGGGGGTCCAGCAGGTACTTTCTAGCTGGATTCACTTTTATTAAGGAGTGAGAATATTTGCCTTTCACTCGGGAAAGATATTAATTTTAGTCTTTTCTCCTTGGATATGCACTTTGACAAAAAAATTAGAGACTTGATAGCTCTAAGATTGAGTCGTAGGCTGACTTACAGTAAATTGGCAAAGTTACTGGAGTGGAGAAGGGGAGGAAAGCAATCAATATACAGGGACTAACTCCGTAAGACACAGAATCTGTACGAATATGGGAGGAGAAGGGATTCTGAGTTCAGCAGTGCCACAGACATTCCCACTGGTGGTAGGTGCCAGGACAGGACAAGGACTGAAAGTTTCTGGCACACGATGGCTGAGCTGGGCTTAGTTCTCAAGCCCACTACCACAAGCTGATTGCTCAGATCAGATGCTGGCTGTAACCCACTTGGGTGGGAAAAATTCCAGAGGGCAAAATAAAATCTCATAGTAGGCATATTGTTATTTAAAGTAAATGAACAGTAAAAGCATTTAGCATTACTATAGCCCAAGAGCCATCGAAACACTTAGCAAAGCAGATGATAATTATAGACAGTCTCTTCCTTAACTGAAGGTTTGCCGAGCGCTCCTCTAACCTGATATATTTAAATTATTACTTTTCAGGTGCAGACCAAGCCTCAGTGACAGCCCGCAGTCACATTCAGCTAGTGAAATCACAGGTGCAAGAAGTGCGACAGCTGTCCCAGAAAGCAGAGACCAAGTTAGCTGAAGCTCAAACAGAAGAGCTCATAAAAGCTCAAGGAGAGGAATCTTCATTGCCACAGGGTATTTTAGGAAATACAGAGGCGGGTGAGGACCCTTACCTTCGGGAGGACTGAAAACAACTGAAGTGTCGCCGTAGAATATGTGAAAGTCAATCGCAAATTGAAAAGTCCCAAACTTTTAAGTGTGGGATAGTGGAAAACTGCTGAAATAAGCCTATGATTCCATTTTTTTCCCCCAAACAAGGTCGCTCTACAAATCAAGTCAATTCCAAGTATCTGAAAGGCCTTGATCTTGTTTGTAACTTTAAGTGTTTGTAACACTTATGGATTCAATTATTTAAATCTTTAACTATGCAAATGTGAAAACTGCTATCAAGGATAGCTTGTTGTTAATTGTCTCTCTGCTGGGAGGGTCCTACCGCTTGTTTGATGTGTTTGTGAGAGCTGTCTTAATTTAGAGGCTAACTATGTATCAGCCAAAGAAGTGTATTTAAAAGTCATTTTTAACCTGTGAAGTAGATGACGTCTGTTAAGAGATCCCTTTATTAAACCCTGCAAAAGCACCCTGTTGCGAGTGTGCCCATTTGGATAAGAGATAAAACACTGTTTTCTGTTTGAACTTAAAAGTTTGTTAATAGAGCTGAGTGACAGCTGCATCAAGTTACACTTAATCACAAGCAGGGGAAACCTTTGCTGTAGAGCTGAAAACTTTCTATGGAATTACCCAGGCTCTTCTTGATGAAGTTCTGCAGTTCGGTACAGCAACCTCTTTCACCCAAGAGTCACTGCTTGTAATACATCTGCCTTCTCCGGGAAGCCAAGGGACATTTGGTTTTCAAGATACTGTGGTTATAAACAAAATTGTTGTGGCAACTGCTGTGTACTTCTTCACAAAGCAGGGAGCAAAAGTGAGTTTTACATATCCAAATGCTTTCCAGCACGAGTTTCAGGGAAATAATCTTAATTCTCTCTTTTTGAAAGTTTGATGTTTCACTGCAAGCTTCAAAACCACAGGTGTCTTTCACTGTTCATTTTCTAACTTGACAGCTTAATGTGAAATTTGCAATATTAACTGTATAGACAATGTAAACAAGCTGAGATTGCTTTGTATAATGCCATCTGCTAGAACTTTATCACTGGTGATTTGAGTCAGTTAATCCCCATTCATCAGGTTTTGTAAGAAAACACACATTAATCATAGGTTTTTCACCACAAATTAGCATCTGATGCACTACATCTGTGTCAAGGATGCTGTTAGTAAATTGAGTTGTGCTTGACAAGGAATTTTTTTCAGCTGTAGCATAAACCTTTCTACCCGTGTCTACCTGCACTTTGCCTCCTTTTGAACAAATGCAATCTCAGCTGTGCAGCACTGTACATTTATAGATTAAATAGTGAAGGAATTAACAAACTACCTTTCCTTGCTCCTGCTCCTCACTGGTTGCAGCTGTATCCAAGGGGGATGGCAGAGTCTAGAATTCAAGCTCACAGGAAGATGCCAGTGTCTGCTGTGTGTAGTCAGGAGGTCCCAAACACAGCTTTGGGCTGGAGCATTAGGAAGAAAACCCACTATGGTGGGAGGATTATTTGCAGCGGTGGCACAACCACACCCTCAAGAGCCAAATGCAACTTAAGGTCAGCCTCTAACCACAGCTGCTCTAATTTGTTACAGGCTGCAGTTCAAAAACTTGTGTCAAACCACTGACCTAAATGCACGTACACGTTGTGTTCCTTCCAGGATGGCACAATAGCTCTACTCAGATGCTAGCATGGCTTAAGACAGATGAGCAGTGCTATGGGCGTCTGCAAAGCAACTCATTCTTCCCCTTCCAGAGCCCGCTCCCAGCCCCACTTCTTGTTTTGCTGTGTGCCCTGCTCTGACTTCCTAAGACATGGGTTGTACTCAGCACAACTTTCAGTTGTGACAGGAACCAGCTAGTCAGTTCAGTCAAGTCAAAACGGGAGTAAGGAGCATGACTGGTGCCATATCACCTCCAAAATGGGGTGGAAAAGAGTCCCACACCTTTGTTAGGAAGTGAGAGTTGCCTATGGGGGGTGAACCCTTACACCTAAGCCCGCAACAGACATGACATCACGCTCTACGTTATGTTACTGAGTTTGCATTTGGAATCATCTAGTGGATCACAAAAATGCTGCCACAGCAGTTCACAGGGTGCCAGGGTACCCGCTCTGTCCAATCTCTGCCCTGGAACAAGCAGCGGTGCCCAGAGAAAACGAGGTTTTGCTGCTCATACTCAGCCTTGTTTACAAAGACAACGTATCTGAAACTACGTGTAGGCAATTTCTCAGGTACAGCTGATTCAGGTAATTAATTCGTTTTAGGCCTGCAGTGAGAAGATGCAGCAGCAGCTTGTACAACACCACGCTGAGGATGGACA